TTTCAAGCACACTATGTTAGGTTCCGAGCAGAGAAGTTTGGAGAAGTTATTTTTTCTTTTTTCCAGTTCATTAATCTGTTAAATATTTTTGTTACCACTCCTTATTGGCTGTACTACTCAGGAGTCCCAATCTGTAAGATAGGTAGGTATTGGCTGTCCCGAAGTTGATGCTCTGATAATGGAGCAGGCTGGGGACGGGGAGTGTACTATAGAAGGAAGTCCATCTAATCTGTCTGCTAACATCTTCATCCTTATTGGAACCCTAATCATTCTTAGACTGATCTCCTAGACTGATTTATTCCATGTGAAAATCCTTCATGATGGCTATAGTTAAAACTTAACCTTTACATAAATTACCATGAATTTACTTGGTTTGGCTTCTCTCTCCAAAGTCTTTTTAACTCCCATCAAATGGATGAGTTGTTAAGTGCCATCAAGTGGTTTCCCACTCTGAGTGACCCTGTGTAGGGTTTCCGATTTTAAACCACCCACCTTCAGGTTCAAACCAACCTTGCGATCCATTGCATTACTCTGCAGCACCACACCAGAACTCAAGTGGATGGGTTGTTGTTAGTGTCGTCAAGTCATTCTGACTCATAGCAACCCTGTATAAGGTTTCTGAGGAGCGGGACCATATAAATCAGGGTCTTTAGGACTCTAAAAAGGAACCATCTCAGAAGTGGGAACAGATGATCCAGCACCATCAAGAAAGAGAACCACAAGCAGAGTGCTGCCTGGAAAAGTGGCAGCAGTTGCAGCCTTCCCAGCCCTATGGACAGAGCAGCATGCCTACAGGCAGAAAGCTGGCAACTGGCTAAAGGAGCTTGTAACACTTGCCCAAGCAGGGCAGAGGCTGAGGGACCATATGGCCAAGAGGCCAAAGACAAGTGAGGTGTACCTGCTATTTGACAAAAAGGTCTTCCTGAATGGAGAACTGCTGCATCCTTAGTTGTTTCTGATCCTGACTTTAATCTCTTAACTTCCTTTATAAATCCCATAATCATGAGTATTGTCTCTAAGTTTTGTGTGACCATTGCAATGGATTTTGGAACCTAGCAGAGAAGTAAGTATGTAATATTACCTTAAAGTAATGAAGTTTCCTGTACTGCATCCAGGAAATGTGGCATTTACTGTTCAATATAGGTCATACACCCTAAATTCTCAGATGTTGCGTAAACATTAGCTCATCATGCCCAGAGTGAGGTCACCCTCCGGTTAGTAGTAAAAGTTGTTAAGTGTTGTCAAATTGGTTCTGACTCAGATCCTGTATAGGGTTTCCAAGGTTGTATATATTTGTGGGAGTAGAAAGCCTCATCTTTTTTCCCACAGAACAACTGGTGGACTCAAATGGCTGCCCTTGTGGTTGGCAGTGTAATACTTATCGTACGGAGCCAAAAAACAAAAAATATTTTATTGTCCTTAAGTGGAATGAACAGGTGAGCCATCATTGGCTTCATTCTGACTAGAATTCTTCCTTCTACTCTGTTGGCAGTTAACATGTACCCCGTGAGTTTTACTTGCCTTCTTTGTGTTTGCCTCTTCCAATAAGATGACTTTTCATGGGCTACCAAACCGTTTGCTGATTTTCTGATCCTCTCAGATTCTCTGTGCAATACTCCTTCTGCATGGCAGCGATTCAATCAATAGATTTGAGAGAGGGAAGTGATGCAGAAGTGATTAGCTGATAAGGTATAAAATATATTCAATTTTGGAGAAACACATGCTTGGTTTTGGGTTTTAATCCCATGCCACTGACTGAGAGGAAGATAATGTTTTCTAGAATTGCATGATTGTTTTTGTTTGCAGAGAAGCTTATTTTTCATTGTGAAGCTAGTTCTCAAGACCACCAGTGCGGCTGGTTCTTTTTTCAGTCAGAAGTAAAGCTGTTAACTTTCAGATTGTGGCTTTAAATCGGAATTTAAGAATTCATAATAGCTGACAAAAATTGCACTTTCTGCTCAGACATCTGAAGTGTACCGCCCATTGTCCATTCCTGGATATGGCCGACTGACCCTGGATAATACCTGTGGCTACAAAAGACTTCATATTTTCAAGCAAGCAGTAAGACCTGGTGGGATCTGCTGAGTTTGTTTGCTCAATAATTTTAGCCCATTGTAAGGCCTTTTTGAAGGAGCTCTGGTAGCGTAGTGGTTACGAATTGGGCTGCGAACCACAAGGTCAGCAGTTCAAAACTACCAGCTGCTCCGATGGAGAAAGATGAGGTTTTCTGCTCCCGTAAAGATTTGCAGCCTCGGAAACCCTGTTTTCAGGTTCGCTATGGGTCGGAACTGACTCGCCGGCACTTAATAACAACAGCAACAGAGGCCTTTTTGTAGCTTTTCAGGTAACCTGTAGAGAGCTTGGTGTTCAGAGCCACATAATGATGGGGCTTCAAAAAGTTTGGGGAAAATTTTTGAAACCACACTCAAAATCAACACTAGCCAGTTCCTCTGAAACTAAGGTCAGACATGCGTCTACCCTACAACCCTACTCCATCCATTCTGACACCAGCTATTCCTTCCATGACATTCTTACTTTTCTGCTGAGTTTGATAATCTGTTGCAGTGCTCACACAGAACTCAAAGACAGTACTCATGATTATGGAGTTTATTAGAGAGGTGAACAGGGCAGGGTACATACAGTTCAGGATCAGAAACAACTCAGGATGCAACAGTGCTCCAGTCAGCAACACTTCTCTCCCGTACTGCAGATAACACCTCGCTCTTGTCTAGCCCCTCAGCCTTGGGCAAGTGCTACAAAGCTGCTTTAGCCAGTCTGTAAATGCCCAAAAAGCACATTCTGCATGCCAATCTCCTGCCTGTAGGCACTCAGCATTACTCGGTTATTGGACTGGGAAGCCTGGAGCTTCTCTGTTCCTCCAAGTTTCCATCTCTGCTGCTGTCGCTTTTCTGGGCAGGGATCTGGCACTTAGTTTGTAACTCATCTTGATGATCCTGGATCATCTTTTACTACTTCTGAGTGGCTCCTTTTAAACTTAGTGGGATGGCAAAAGTAACCAATCCCAGCCTTAGTAGAGTACGCCCTACTTGCAGAGTCCCACCAAATCATATTCCTGGTGTGGCGTAGTAGGGTCAGCACTGGACTGCAAACCATGAAGTTGACAGTTCAGACCCACCAGCAGCTCCTAGCAGGGTTGCTAGGAGTCAGACTGACTCGATGGCACTTAACAACAACAGCCATCCAGTCATTTGGTAGGAGTTGTAAAGACCATGCTAGAGGAGACACAGTAAGTAAATTCAGTGTACCACAATTTATCTTTCAATTCCATTTTTCCTCTCATATCTACCAAACTGCCTTTCTTGAATGTTTCATTTTCTACTCAAACCTCACAGGTTTCCTTCTCCCCCTAATTTATTTATAACCTCTTTGGGCATTATTAACATATAATGGGCTTTTCCTGACTGATTGTTGAGTTGGGATTGGCTGCTTCAGGATGTGTTACTTTTGATTTCTTAAGGTTTTTATTATATTTTGGAGCAGGTGTAGTGACTCCTTTGTGCTTTTGCATTTCCCTTACCTCAAGATCAGTAATTTTCTGCTAGGATTTCTTCCTCAAAGCATATAAAACTCCCACTAATGTCGAGTCGATTCCAACTCATAATGACTCTACTGGACAAAGTAGAACTCTGCTTTAGGGTTTTAGAGACTGTAAATCTTAATGGAGCAGCCAGCTTCATCTTTTCTTTTACAAGTGGCTGGTGGGTTTGAACTACCAACCTTGTTGGCTAGCAGCTCAGTGCTTAATCCACTACATCACAAGGGCTGCTTCTAAAGCATATGGTCTGCCATAAATCTCGCTTCAGTATCTTAAACTCGCCAGCTGAACTCTATCCACTATTAGTGTTGCTACACATTTCTTATTTTCTGTCTGCAGATTTTGTGTATGTATGCATGCATTTTTGTGATGATTAAGTCTTTCACTTCTTCCATTATATCTGGAAGAGGAGAATATTAGGGAGAGCAGAGGATTCATACCTTGTAGAATCCTAAATCACCTGAATTGTAGGGTCATTCCCAGGTAGCATATTGTAGCTGAGGCAGCTACATGAAGGAATGACAGACCCCTCCTCCCTCCTTCACCTGCTGCTTTGATAATGAGCTAAATTGTGCTAGCTCAATTTGCTCTGATAGTATAAGGAACTCTGGTAGTAGTATAGTGGTTACGAAATGGGCTGCGAATGGCAAGGTCAGCTGTTTGAAACTACCAGCTGTTCCACGGGAGAAAGATGAGGCTTTCTGCTCCTGTAAAGATTTACAGCCTCGGAAACCCTGTTCAGGGTCGCTATGGGTCAGAACCAGCTCGACGGCACTTAACAACAACAATTTCTGATGATGTGTGTATTCCCGGGTACACCCTGTCTTCCTGGCTCTCTAGCGGGGTTTTTGGAGAGGCTGGTTGAGAAATGCAGGCATGAAGCATAGATCCAACCCTAGTAGCATCCTGTGATAAATCAAAATTTGTGGTTCATATTTGTGCTTTCAGCCTTCAGAGTCGCTCTTGAGTGGATGTTAATAGTCGTCTTTCTTCCATGAGTATTACCCAAACTGAGATGGGTTCATTTTATTCCTTGACTGTAATTTTACAAAGAGGCTTCAAAAAGTTCGTGGAAGAATTCTCTTATCTTTTAAATTACATTTCCCCCCCACAAACTATCTGAAGCCCTCCTGTATATGTATATCAAAATGCCAAAAATGTTGCAAGATTTTGATTTTAGAGCAAGCTTTCCACTAAACTAGTTCTTGTGGACTGCTAGTCAAGACTTTTTTACTTCTTCTTTTGTAGTCACTTTGCCTGAAGTAAAAGTTTTCATGAGAACCCAGTTGTAAGTCTGGTGTTGTTATAGGAGCATTTTTGTACTTTTTATACACAAATAAGTAAGTACAATCAACCTCTGTTGTGTATTCATATAGTTGCGAAGAGCTACTCTGGTGTGGTTAAAACATTTTCTCTTTCCTCTGACTTTGTTTTGTTTTTGCAGGACTACAAAGCTGATGAAGATCCAGCATTATTCCAGTCAATCAAGACCAAGAGAGGCCCTTTGGGACCCAACTGGAAGGTACTGGATGCTGACCTTTCTGACAGGCAGAGTCTTGGCAACACAACACTTGACAGGTCCCTGAGTCTTGAAGAGCTGGTGACGTTTAAGGGAAAAGTAGAAATGGCACAAAAAGAGTTGCATTTGCGATAAGGACTTCCAGGCAGTTGCAGTTGGCCAGCAAGTCGGTGCTGCATTAGGAAACAATACAGTCTGCTGCCAATTTCAGCATAACACGATTCAGACCACTTTTAAAAGAGACAAGTGATTTTGTCTTTGGAAATTTTAATGTTCTTTTCTGAGACTTGGAGCAGTCCAAACCATCCATGTTAAATATGAAGGCTTATTGTTTACATTTACTCTTAGTAAAATGGAATGAGCTCCTTTCACACGTGCCCATGTTTCTGGCCCTTTAATATTACATTTTGGAAAGTATGGAGCAAGAGAGAAATTTTTGTGGCGAGCAGTTGTTTTGAATAAAGAACACACCCTTACTTGATTCATGGAAGTAAGAAAAGCAATGTCAAGGCAAGAATTTAAATTGTTGTAGAAATACAGTACATTTCAAGGATATCCAGTAAATTAAATGCCAGCTCCTTAATGGATTCATGGGGGACGGTATGTTGTTACAGCTAATTTGACAAGAGAAGAAAGAGGCACATACAAACCTGGACATGCCCATTGCGGATTTTCCACAAACAAGGGTTGACTTGTTCACTAGTCTGTTTATTCTGACAACATCCAGCTCACCCAAGGGCTAGTTGTTTGCAAGTATGGAATTGTTATAGCTGCCCCACATGAACTCACTGAGTTGGGTCTCCATGGGCACCATACTGTTTTGTGGACTGCCTTGCATATCAACGAAAATGGAGTGAGGCTTACTTGGTTTTGTAAGAGAAGATTCACAAATACCTTGCTTGTACATTTGTTCTGTGGGTAGAGTTCAGTTCAATGCAATAGCCATCATCAGAGATGTTTAACTTAATACCCAAAAAGTGCTGTCTGTCAACTTAGAAAGGATCCCTTTGCATCATCCTAAATTTGCTTTAATGTGTTTCAAAAAGTCTCTCCACCCTTTCCAAGATTTCTCACCGTAGACTTCAGAATTTCTCTGACTCAGAGTGGAAGCTTTCTCCTTGGCGATTGAACCTTGGCTTACTTACAGAGAATGCCCTAGTAGAGGAAGAGGAGAGGTGCTTCTTTCAAAGTGGCCTTAACTTGTGAAAGGACAGCTTTCTGTACTAAGTGCCCACTCTCTAACTGAGGTTGAGACACAGAAACCCACTGCTGTCGAATCACTTTCAATTTCTAGTGACTAGGACAGAGAACTGCCTCATGGCAGTTGTAAGGCTTGTCATCTTGGGAGCAGACTGCTACATCTTTCCCTGGCTGGTTCAAACTGATTTTTAGTTAGCAGCCAAGAATTTAAACACTGCACCACCAGAGGTGCCTTAAATAGTGAATTTCTGTTGAATTATCAGTTTTTCAAATAAAAACTTTATAAAGGGGAACATTGTATTACATGGTGATGTTAATATAATGGGCTCAAATTTCTCTTTTAGGGACTCCTAGCACTAGCAAAAGGAATTTGATTCTTCCTTTAACCTGGTACTCAACCTTTCTGAGGGAACTTGGAATATATGCTGAAGAGTTTTACCTTTGAAACTAATATTGCTCTGTCTTTTACTACCAAATTAATAATTACTTAATTCTAGAATGTGTTTGGTTTTGAGAAATATGAATGGTCTCTCTTTCATGGTTTACCTCATATTTTTGTTTATGTGTGCTTAATGACAGCCTTTTTTTTTTCTGGTAGGACACTGGCTGATACTGATAACTTTCTAACCATTTGTGTCTGACAGTATTTTGCTGTTGCCAGATAGTGGTGGGTGTGACTATTCTCATAAATTGCGTTACTACGTAGCTGTTGAGGGCTGTGGTTTCAGTAATAGAACTTCCTTTTTTTTTTTTAAAGTTTTTATTGTGAGTTATGTGGTAGTTTACATGGGAGAACATTAGCTTTACATTCATCCTATTGTATTTTGTTTCATCGCAATGATTACATTTCCCTCCGTGCATCATCAAACAACCAAAGGGTACGACCCACAAGCCTGCCCCACGGCCATCAACACGCAGCCCCTCTCCCTCCCTGAGTCCAGAGTCCCCAGCAAGTCCCATCTCTCCACGTCATTGTCTCTGCCTCCATCTCTGGCGTCACTGCTTCTTTGGGTAGGGTCACCAGGGACCTCTGCTCCTGGACTGCAAAATCAACCACTTCCCTCCTTTTGTTACAAAATGTCTACCTTTACATTTCCAACCCTTACAGTCAGTCCTGATAGCAATTACTCATTATTATACCACAAGAGTCCAATCCCCATCTCCTTTCATCAGCCCCAAATGGATTGGAAACCACTCAGTGAAGAGTCTTACCTTCCCCCGCCCTGTCTGGAACTAGGCTATCTCTTGAAAGCTTGTAAGCCAGTCACTTTTTGGCTTTGTAGCCCCCCCATTTTGGGTAGCAGATGTCTAAGTTGCCCATATCTGTCAACCCTGTATACCAAGAGGGTGGGAATGATCCTTGCTGTAAAGATTTGTTCCCTCTTTTGAGCTACTGCATCCATAGATGTAGATCAAGTTCATCAAGTTGTATCAGGTTACTCTTTTTTTCCTCTTCTTTCTTCTTCTAGTTGAGCTCTGATCATCCAGCCATTGAAGCCAGGTCAGGTGGGTAGTATCTGCAAGTGTGAGTGTTCTTGTGCATATGCCCTTTCTTCTTATCAGCTGGATGCTTCACTCTCCACTCTAGTCCTCTGTGGCTATGTCACTGACTCTGGGCCCAAGAGTCCCCAGGTCTTGCCACACTGCTGGCCAACCAGGTCTCTATCAGGTTCACAGGAGTCTATTGAATGTTGTAGGGCTTAGCTTGCAGCGTCATTGCTGTTTTTCCCTTACTTCCCCTTATGGGTGATGAATGTGGTCACCAATCTGTCCTCTCCTTTTTTAATCTTTGCTGTTATTGCTAGTGTGGGATGATATCTTACTGTTGTTTTGATTTGCATCTCTAATGGTTAGTGATTGTGAACATTTCTTCATAATGTTTGTTGGCTGCGCGGATCTCCTCTTTGGTGAAATGTCTGTTCATGTCCTGTGTCCATGTTTTAATTGGTTTATTTGTCTTTTCCTTGTAGAGGTGTTGTAGTTTCCTATATATTTTAGAAATTAGTCCCTTGTCCGATGTGTCGTTGCAAAATATTTTTTCCCATTCTGTGGGTTTCCTTTTTACTCTTTTGATGCACATAAGTTTTCAATTTTTGGTATGGCCCAATCATCTATTTTGTCTACTTTTGTTGGTGTAATTTTCAAAATGTTCGTAATCTGTATATGCCCTGTATTGGAGCCCTCACATTTGTCTCTATTTTTTCATTGATGGCCTTCATAATTCTGGGATTCACATTTAGGTCTTTAATCCATGCTGAGTTGGTTTTTGTCTAAGGTGTGAGGTAAAGGTCCTGTTTCAGTGTTTTGCATATTGCTTTCCTGTTGTGCCAGCACCATCTGTAAAAGAGACTATCTCCTCCCCATGCAATATACTTAAGCATTTTGTCGAAAATAAGTAGCTGTATGTGGATGGGTTAATTTCTGGATTCTCAATTCTGTTCTATTGATGAATGTATCTTTCATTGTACCAATACCAGGCTGTTTTGACCACTGTAGTCATGTAGTAAAATTTGAAATCAGAGAGTGAGAGGTTTCCATCTTTAATATTCTTCTTATTAAGCAGTGCTTTGCTTATCCTGGGTGTCTTTCCTTTCCATATAAAGTTTGTAATTGTCTTTTACATCTCTCTGAAGAATGTCATTGGAATCTGGATTGGGATTGCATTATATGTGTATATTGCTTTGAGCAGTATTGACATTTTCACAATGTTAAGTCTTTCTGTCCAGGAGCGTTGTATATTCTAGCACTTTTGTAAGTCTCTTTAGGTTTCTTGTAGTAGTATTTTGTAGTTTACTTTGTGTAAGTCCTTTGTTTCTCTGGTTACATTTATCCCCAGATATTTCATCCTTTGGGCAGCTATTGTAAATGGTATTGATTTCTTAATGTCCTTTTCAGCTCTGTCATTGTTACTATAGAAGAATTCAGCTGATTTTTGTATGTTGATCTTATACCCTGCCACTTTGCTGAATCATCGAATGAAGTCTAGTAGCTTTTTTACTGAATCTTTGGGGTTTTCTATGTATAGGATCATATCGTCTGCAAATAGAGTTTTAATTTCTCTGCCAATTTGAATGCCTTTAATTACCCTGTCTTGCCGTATAGCTCTGGCTGATACTTTCAAAATAATATTGAATAGGAATGGTGACAAACGGCATCCTTGTCTGGTTCCTTTTTGCAGAGGGAAGGCTTTCAGTTTCTGTCCATTGAGAGTGATGTAGGCTGTTGGTTTTGTATATATGCTCTTGATTATGTTGAGGAATTTCCCTTTAATTCCTACTTTGTTGAGTGTTTTTATCAGAAATGGATGTTGGATTTTGTCAGATGCCTTTTCTACATCAGTTGATAGGATCATGTGGTTCTTTTCTTTTTTCTTATTTGTATGGTGGATTACATGGATTGTTTTTCTAATGTTGAACCATCCTTGCATCAGTGATAGAACTCTTGCCTTCCATGCAGAAGACCCATTTCTTTTTTTTTATTATAAATGTTTTATTGTGAATTATGTGATAGTTTACATGGGAGAACATTAGTTTTATATTCATTCTATTGTATATCGTTTCATTGCCACCGTTACAATCCCCTCCATGCATCATCAACCAACCACAGGATATACCCTGCAAGCCTGCCCTGGCCCTACCCCCACCCCCAGTCGTCAACACACAGCCCGCCCCTTTCCCTCTCTGGATCTCAAGTCCCCAGCAGCTCCACCTCTCCATGTCATCTTTTCTGCCTCCATCTCAGACATCACTGCTTCTCTGGATAGTGTCCCACTCTCTGCTCTTCTTCATTATTGGTCCCAGGGA